TTGCTGAGACCAGCTGGATGTTTTCTCATCATCCTTGGAGAAAACTGTGTGCAGGGGATGGTCTCTTTTCACAATAGAGGGGAGAGATGAGTTTCCTACCTAACTAGGGATGTTCTGTGCCTATTGGTTTCTTAGGTTTGTAGTAGGTCAGCAAAGATTAATTAAAATTTTGCAGGGAACCTTACTGCTTGTTGAATTACTTCAGCACCACCTTGCAGACTGGAGCAGATTGATCTAGAGCTATCTATAGGAATTAAAAAACCAAAAACCAAAATACCACAAAGCAAAATCTAAGCAAGAACTTCTATGCTTCACTCAGTGCCATCTGTAGAGATCTTGAATGGCCTGACCTATCCCATTGCCAGTTTTCTTTCCATGACCTGTAAATACTCCTCAACAATTCTAAGTTCACAAAGAGAAAGTCTCATAGTATAATCAGGAATTAAATGTTATTTTCTTACTATATTTTTCATTTTAATATATTCCCCTCTTCCCTTCCTTCTAGCTAGAGGAAGAATGAAAAGAATTACGGAATTTTTACTCAAAAATTTTATAGTGAATTAATGATGGCTTTTTCTAATTTTTTTAAGGTATTTGATTCCAAATGCAGGTGATGCTACCAAAGCCATAAAACAACAGATCATGAAAGTATTGGATGCCTTGGAAAGTTAAATACTAAAGACTTTGTAGAGACCAGTTTATAAAGAAGAAGCAACCAAGATATACTGTATGTGGACACAAGCTGACTGTTTCCCAACTGAATACTAACTTAAGAGAATTTTTCTGTTTGCTGGTGGGAGTGCCTGAGTAGCAGGCTTAAGATAGGGTAAATTATTATCCATTTCTGGACAGGATTTTTGTTTCTTTTTTTTTAATTTTAATTTTTTTTTGTTTTGTTTTGGAGAAGTGTTTATTATAAAGGTCAGTTTGTTTCTTTTTAATGCAGCCTTAATGGGAGTGTTCTGCATCTTTGCAAGAGCAGATGCAGTTGGGTTCACATTAAGTGAAGGAATGAAGGACTGTGAGATACAGTGAAGCAGTTGAAAACACAGTGGCTTTTAAATTATTATCCCTTATAAATAAAATGTCTCCATTGCCTACAGTCTAGAAATTTGATTTTGCCTACCAGGTAGTATCAAAGACTAATTAAAAATTTAGGGTTTTGAGCAGAGCAGATACAAATCTTAAAAAAAACATTTTCACATTAAAAACAGTTAAATCCACTTCGGACTGCAGATAAATAGAAAAAATACAAGCAATTTGTAAAATTAAAGGGTTTTTAAAGTCTTACCAGCTGCTAGACTAAATATCTGGAATTGGTGGTAAAGATTATTTTTAAATACTGAAATTAACTGTAATTTTTACTACAGGGTCGTGACTTTTTTTTTTTAATTATGCAGAATTTTATATTTCATAGGTTGAGGCTGTTTCCCTTGTAAAGATGAGTGTGTGCATTGAAATGCATGTTTCATGACAGAATATGACAGTTGAAAACAAGTTGCCTTGCTCCTCACAAACAAAATGTCTAAGAACTTGAGATGTTTAAAACCCTTCAGTTCAGCACAAAAGTGAGTACATGCTGACTAAAGATGTGTTCAGCAAGACGAATGCGCACAAAACCAGGCAAGAAATTCCAGTGCTACACACCTGTGATAAATGTATTCTTAACCAGTTGCCTTCATTGATTCAAGCATTTGTTTATATTATTTTGAGTAACAATTTCTAAATTAGCAAAGATTTGGAAGATGGCAGTTATATGACTGTTCATAAGCTTTCAATTTGTTCAAGAATGGTTCTCTTGTTCAAAGCTCAGCACAGGAATGTTCTTATGGACAAGGCAGAGCATCTTTGTAGACTGATGGGAAATCACCAAAAACTCTGAAATAAAGATAATGGGGATTAGCTTTGCTGCATGAAATCTTCTGAGTACTTGAATCAAAACCTATGATTTGGTACTTCATCAGAAGGTGAAATAAGTTAAACTGACCTTTATAAAAAACATTTATTCTAAGTTATTTTACTAGGAATCAAGCTAGGGCACCTTAATTCCAGAACTAATTACTTTCTTTTTCCTTCTTAGTATCTGAGTAAACACCAATAGAACTTGAACTGTTGAAAATATTTGCATGAAATTGCACCTGGGCCAATGCTCATGTATTTATAGTTTTGCCCAGCAACTGTTGTATTACATTTTCCTCTTCCTAATCCCTCCTGAAAATATCCTCAAGAGTCTCTGACTCTGTGCCTACTTCAGCAACGAGATTTTTTCATGTAAAGATGTTTGTGCTACTGTTTATAAACTACAGTTGTAAATAAACCAGTACAATTTGAACATAACTTGTTCTGTCAGAAGGCATTTAGTTGCATACTGTAAATTTTCTGAATCAATTCAGAGTTTTTCCTAAAGGTGTTTTGTAAATGAAAGTGAATTTGATCTTTGGAGTGGAAGATGCTGATTATGGATCATAGGGAGCTACTGCTGGTGACTTCTTAATGTAAGTATTTCAGAATTTAAGTTAATTTCATTAAGGACTTTTGGGTGAGCATTCACAGGTCAAAGTGAATTCGCAAATAATCAAGTTATAGAAGAGGTTTCTGCATAAATTCTAGACTTCTCTCGGCATCATATTTTTATTGTGAAAATGTTGACAGAATGATACAACATATTTCTCCTAGTCAGGAAGGGGAAAAGTGAAAATGACATTTGGTTGTTAAACAGGTGTATATTAAATATGGAATGTGGCTAATGTGTATGCTTCACTATGAGAACAGCAAATACAGCAGACCTGTGTGATCTACAGCAAGTAAAGCAATAGGAAGTCAGTTCTTAAATCCCTTCTCTGTAGAAACATAGAATCCAAGCCATTTAGAGGCTAATTATCTGTGAATTTTAAGGCAATGTGCAAGTTATCAACAGACCTCTTATCTTAAAAAGCTCAGCCCAAACTATGAATCATTTCAATGGTGCTGGTGTATCTCTACCCACAATTAGAGGGCCACTTTTGCCTTACAGTGTACATTTTTGTTGTAAAACTTGTACTACTAAGCGGAAATTCTAATTATAGTAGTGCAGTGATATTTTTTGAAAAGAAAAATCAAAAAAGTTGGTATGCTACTTCTTGTCCCTTTTAGCTTCAAGGATTTCTTTTAAATTATATTTGCTAGAGATGTGTTGGCTCTTGTTTTCTTCTGCATGCACCACGGTCTATATTTTTGAATATAAGGTGACAGTTGTTATGATGCAGGAGTGATAGAAATGAGGTCTGGAATAAGAAAGAAAGTCTTGGATGAAACTTTCCTGCCAAGTGAAAGCTCTTACCTTTGTGTCATAGTGAGAGTTGGTGCTTCTGTGCTCACTGATGGCTCTTCACTTGTCTTACAAATTCTTTTAGATTCTGATCTGTATGAGAATTTGTAAAGAACTTTACACGTATTACCCACCAAAAATATTGTTGATTGCAGAGTTACAATTTTTAAAATTGCCTTTTCCTGTTAGCCCTAACACCTGGGTATCACCTGTGATTGGATCTTTTCCTTCCAACTACACGTCACCTCTAGTTTCAAAACTTCAGGTATTGCTTTTTCAATGTAGGTGTAGTGTACTGAATGTGTGAAAAGTTTCCCTTTAGGGAAGGAAAAGGGTGCTACTATGTAACTTGTTCTACTGGGTATACGTAGTGCTTTCAGATACTTTTGTTGGGAAACTTGAAAAATACCTTTTATCTCTCTGACCCATGGGAAACTGGATTTTTTGCCTGTGCTTTGCACCTCGAAGGCATGATACTACTTGATCTTTTTAACATTATTTTTCATATTTGGGAAGAAGTTGGGAGACAGCTGTTCTTTGCACTTGGAACCCTGCAGAGTGTGATGTTTGGGGAAGGAAAAATGTTTAAAAATCATATATGCTCTTTCTACCACCACAGGCATGTGTAAAAAGGATGGAGGCCTGCTAAGGGCTGCTGTACTGTCTGCTCTGCCATCCTTTGGCTTGGTCAGATTGGGATGAGTGGTTCCCTTTACTGTTTCAAGGGGCTTGTAGAACAGTTCTCTGGTTGAAGAAAGGTTTGTGGTTGTTGTGTGAATAGTGGTTGTGCATTTTACAGTGGTTATGCTCTTCCCATCCTTTATCTCTCTGCATGTTTCCTGAGAGGGAAAGTGTGTAAGAGATTGATCACCCTGGGTGTCCTGGTTGAGGGCAAATTTGGGAAAGAACCCCAAAGGCTTCCTCTAGGAAGCAGATTCAATCGGCCCCTCCCCACAACCGGTTTGGGAAAGATACCTCCTTGGAGAAGAGTGGAAAAAACCTGTTTATTAAACAAGCAAACTTAAACAATATTAAACAATAAAACTTCTTGCCACTCCAAGAGGGAGACAAACTCAGAAAAATCCCCTGGGCTGCAACTCTGCTCACTCAATCTCTGATCAGTCCCTCCGGTGCTGGAAATGCCAAGCCCAGGCACAGAGCTGCTGCTGTTCTGGTGTTTAGTCCAGAGCAGGTTCAGAGAAAGGGAAAAACACCACAGTCCAGGGAACTTCTTTGCCTCAGCTAGCTAAAACTAACTAGAAAAGCAAAGGAGAGCTCTGTCTTGCTGTCTGTCTGTCCACAGACAGCACAGTCCAGGAGCAGGAATGTGGAGGAGGGAGTGCAGTTCTGGAAAACAAACTCCACGTTTCTTCCCCCCGCCTTCACTCTTGGAACAAGCCTTAAAGGTGCAAAACTTATTATTCAACATAAACAGAGCAGACAATTGGGGATAAAGGCATCATACAGTCCACCTAGGACACTGAGTTACCCATTTTATCTTTACCCATTCTGCTGTTATGTACTTTCAGCTTACAGACATAATCTTATGTGAGAAATATTGCTACACAACATAAATCTACAACTCTACACACATGCTTCTAAAAAACCCAAGGCTGGAAAATATGTACCTGAGACAGCAGTGTTTTGTGCTGTGTAAAGGGGAGCATTGGTGTTTAAAGCCAAGAAGAGCAGCATGGTGCTTAGAGTGTTGGTTTCGCAGAACTGGCAGTGTTGGACAGGGCCTCTGGAGCTCATCCAGTCCAAGTTCCCTGCCAAGGCCGGGTCACCTAGAGCAGGTGACACAGGAACTTGCCCCAGGTGGGTTTGGAATGTCTCCAGAAAAGGAGACTTCACTGGGCAGCCTGTTCAGTACTCTGCCACCCTCTCTGGCAGCTCTTTTGTCTTTCTGGCAGTGAGGAGCCCAGAACTGGACACTGCTGGAGATGACTGTACCGTGGGGGATGCTGTTCTTGTAAAGCAAGACGGGGATGTCCCAGGGGAACGAGTTCCGTGTGAACTGGTACAGGCCCCTTGCGATGAGCCCTTAGCAGACTTAGGGCAGCCGGGGTTTGTTGGGCCGGGCAGGGCAGGGAGGCTCTCGGCACAGCCGGGGCTGAACGGGCTCAGAGCGTGGTCCCGGCACCGCCGGGCCGCTGGAGGCCGTGAGGGCGGCCCCGGGAGCCCGGGCCGGGCCGGTACTGCGGGTCCGGGGACTGCGAGTCCCGGTACCTACCGGGCCGCTGGAGGCCGTGAGGGCGGCCCCGGGAGCCCGGGCCGGGCCGGTACTGCGGGTCCCGGCACTGCGGGTCCCGGCAGTCCGCGCGGGCCGGGCGGAGCCGGGAACGCGCCGGGCGGAGCCGGGAACGGGCCGGGCGGAGCCGGGAACGGGCCGGGCGGAGCCGGGAACGGGCCGGGCGGAGCCGGGAACGGGCCGGGCGGAGCCGGGAACGCGCCGGGCGGGCGGCGGAGGAGCCATGGCCTGTGAGTGCGGCCCTTTCCCGTCCCTCTCCCCTCTGGCTCCGCGGGCGCTGTCCCGGAGCCCGGCCGGGTGGGACCGGGAAAGGCTCGGTGCTGGGCTGGCACGGCCCCTGGGTAGTGCGGGCACAGGGAGCTGCGCTGGGCGCAGAGCGGGGTACACACAGGGCAGGGGAACGCCAGCGAACCGGGCGTGCTTCGCTCCCGGCGTTCTAAAACAAAATAGCGAGCGTGTTTTGTAGTGGTACAAATGTGAACCATTATTTTACTCCGTTGTGCTTTTACCTGGTTGTGGCCTACATTGCTTTAGGCTTTTCCTGGGAATTGCTTCCAACGAAGGTTTTGGGGCTGCTCAAGGCTGGGAGCAGAGGACTCTGTCTACAGCCCTGCTACACATTTCTCTGCATTTCTGTTGTTCCCACATCTGAATGTGTTAGGTGTGACACAAATACATGTGTTCTGTTGCGGCTGACCTTCAGTTTTGCACCTTATCAAACTTCAAACCTGAGGCATATAGTGTTATATTTATATATAGGAAGGTAATATTAATTACCTTAATTAAATTTCCTGGTGTTTTAAACATGGGTTTTTTTTTTCCTAGTGCCTTTTTTCTCTTTTCTTTTACTCTGAAATGTAAATCTTTTAAGTGGACAACTTGTCTGAACTAATACACATTCCACAAATGCTGGGAAATTTTTGACAGATCCCTGGTATGGTTATCTCAGTAGGTATGGAACCTATGGTTACATCTGTTCAGAATACCAAATTAGTTTTGTTTGCTCAAGAGAGCCAACAGTAAAAGTCTCTCACACAAAGAGTGGCGAAGAGAGCAGTTAATTTGCTTAATCTCTAGAAACTAGCTGCTTAGCTACAGAAGTAGGAAAAAAGATGTATCTCAACTGCTCGTGACTCAGTCTCATCTTAACGTGAAGCAATTTTTCCAGTTTCCCTGGCCACTGTGTTGCTTCCAGCTTTGTCTTTTTCTTGTTGTGATCTTTGACTTTTCATGGGGGAGTTTTCCAGACAGATGAGGTGCTATGAAACTGTGATACTTTTTTTTTTTTTTAATAAAGCCAGAGAGGATTGGTTGGTTGGTGTTTGTTTTAAAGAAAACAGTTCTACCTGCTCAGGGTGTGTTTCCCTACAACCTGGGGTACTCACAGATTATTGGAAGGAAATCCAAGGGGTATGCACAAAACCTGGCTACCTGGAGAGCCTGCAGTTGGATATCTTGCTTAGTGGGAGTAGAAGCTTGATAACACTTGCAACTTGGCCAGAAACCAGTTTGCTAAGAAATGATCAGGAAATATGTTAACCTTTCTTGGTTTTCATAGCCATTTCCCAAGCTAGGTGTGAACTGAGGGATAAAAGCAAACAATTGCTTTATTTGGTGCTTTTGGGATTATCCAGCTCTTGGTGTGCAACAAGAAGATAAGATGGGCTGGCACAGTGCCCAGCAGCCTGGGAAGGAATGGGGGACCTGTGCTCTCCCTCTCTGTAACACAGCTCCTTCCCCTGGAACATGGCCTGGCTGTTGCTGGCACGGGGCTCTGTGATCTCTGCAGGGTGGTGGCCCTGCGTGGCTCCCATTGGCAATCCGGGGTTTCAGTGCTCTCCCTGTGCTTAGAGACTGTTTCCAGTGCCAGAGCTAGGCTGCACAATGAGTTGGTAGTGGTTTGTGCATATGTTTATGTATTAACTCCTTTGTTTTCTTCAATGCTCGTTACTGAATTCAAATTTGGAAGAGTTTCCTGGGGGAATTCTGATGAATAAGTTTTTTCTTTTCTGCCATCAGCCTTCCGCCTCGCTCTTATCCAGCTTCATGTATCTGCTGTTAAATCGGATAATCTCCAACGAGCCTGTGGACTGGTGAGGGAAGCATCAGCTAAAGGAGCAAAACTTGTGGCTCTACCTGTGAGTAAAGATCATGGCCTGCTTAGCCCTTATGTTTCAAACCCTTCAGAACCTCTTTCTAGTGTTATTAATGCAACATATATTCCTCTTCCTCCCTGGATAGCTTAGATGCTGTATGAGGCTTCAAAATAAAACTAAAAGCTAAAAAATCCCAGGGCCTGTATCAGCAGCACATTAAGATGTGGGGAATGAGAAGGGAAACCAAGAACAGGTTGATCTTTTTTGTAGTGTAAGATTCTGGTAAAGTTTTTGCTGGTTTAAATCCTAGGCAATACCATCATTGAAATATTCTGAATTCAGGTAAGTGACACTGTAGTTTGAATCTTTGCTGAAGAAGTGTAGAAAAAGGCAATTTTCAGCTAAAGCATGTTGACATGAAGGTGAAAGACCATACACAGTAGCTCTCTTTGCTGTAAGCATTCCAGATCCATGAGAAACAAAACAGACTTAAAATATACTTCCAGCAGGTCATTTGTGGCTAAATTATTATTAAGACACGTTTCTCTTATGACTTCCGTGTGTGGAAAAATGATCAATCACTTCTGACTCACTTTTTGAACTTTAGCCATAATTATTTTGCTGAATTTTCACACCATGGGTGTGCTGGCAACAGGGTGGGCTTCTCAGTGCAGTTTGAGCTTTTCTCCTCTCTTCACGGAGAGAGAGTAACCTTGTGTTACTCCTGTACATCTGACACAGGAGTGCAAAGTCCATCTCTGGGTGAACTTTGGGTCTCAGTTTTACACATAGAATGTTTTCTCTCCCGCTGTCATGGGGGAAGCATTGAGCAACCTTCCCAGCTCCTCTGTGCTAACATGGTTCTTGTGTTGCAAATGTGACCATTCAGTGTTCTGCCTCCTGTGTAGAGATTACTATTATTTACTGGCTCCACCATGTGTACAGACATTGAATTTTCCAGACTTATTTAGCTGAGATACTCACCTTGTCAACAAAGATTTATGCTTTTAGAATACAAGTTGTCAAACACGGGCAAAGCGTTTCACAGACATTTGGGAAATACATTTTGTATTGACATTTGTGCATGAGCATGAAATACTGTCTCCCCATTGTTTGGTTTCTTTGGGGGCTTCATTTTTTGTTTTAATAACTTTACATAAAGGAAAGTAACTCATATTGAATATATGAAGATGGAGGCTGCTGGCTTTGCTTTCACTTCTTTGAAGTTCAGCCCAGATTTCAAAAGCCTAGGAAGCTCATTTTGACAGCCTGCAGAGATTTCCCTTCCTGCTACTTCATCTACAGGTTGTGCTGTGGGTTAGCTTATACCTGCTGGCCTAGTGCCCTGTATAGGGAAAAAAAAAAAAAAAAAAAACCTTTCTAGCTTGGGTTCATTTATTCCACTTCAGTAGAACCTACCTCAGTTGTTATGAAGTTTGCTTGAGCAGATAAAGCAGAAATGTTTATTGTGCTAGTCACAGCTTGATTTTTTTTCTCCCTTTTTCTTTGTGGGGGTGGGGGTGTGTTTGTCACTTGTGATGAGCAAAGGGAACAATGGAGGTGTCTGTGCTGGGAGTCCCTTTCTCACAGAAGAGAAGTTGCTGCCACAGTTTGATATCCTATCTGAGGCCTCCAGCTGTACTCCTTCAGGGTACAAGAAAGTGTTGGGTGGAGTGTCTCACCTCCTCACAGAGCTGGCAAGTGTAATGCAGAGTGAAAGTGCTTCATGCTTTGGTGTCTCAAATACCACCAGCCCACCTATCTTGGGCATCTAAACTTCTCTGGTAATCTGACTGTGTGAAGATTACTTGTCTAGTTCTAAAGGGATGGCAAATCTTTAACTAAGGCCTAAGGTGGAGAACACTCTTCAGTTGTGAGGAAATAGTGTTTAAAGGATTATTTTAACAAAGCAATAAGTAATTTTTAGAAATGCATGCTTTTGCAAATGTCCTTTTAAAAATTAAGCAATCTTAATGTGGCTGTGGATGAGCATGAGCATTTCACAGTTTTGAGAGGATCTATCGAGCTTGTGACTTTCAAATGAGTTGTGTTGAACTTGGCTCCGCATTCTGATGTGAACATCCCTTGTGTTCTTGTTAAGCCCAGAGCAGTGAATGTGCTGGCCTTACAGCTTGCATATAGTCTTAGCTCATGTTCTATTTGGCATGCACTCCACAAACACACCTCTTTTGGTGTGTTTGAACACACAAAACACAATTGTTCAAGTCCCTCTGGCCTTCCTGGCGTTTTCTGGTTCGCTTACTGAGTTCCCATAAACTAAACTCATGTAACCAAAGGTTGTTTGAGAATATGGTTAGAGAGGAGTTTGAAAAGTTAAGTACATCTCATTGTAGTGGTGTTACTGGATTTTTAGCTTTTTTTTTTTTTCCCCCCATTTAATTCTAGGAATGCTTTAATTCTCCATATGGAACCCAGTACTTTAAGGAGTATGCAGAGAAGATCCCTGGGGAATCAACACAAAAGCTGTCAGCAGTTGCAAAGGAGTGCAGCATATATCTCATTGGAGGTAGTTTACTCTTAGTGACCATCTCACTGGGGGAAAAATGGGCAATGTCTATTACTGCCATTAGATCAAAATAATACAGTGGGAGAAATCTCTATATTCTTGCCTTTAAAAAGGATCGATTCCAGAAGAGGATGGTGGAAAGCTCTATAATACATGTACTGTCTTTGGGCCTGATGGTGCTCTGCTGGCAAAGCACAGGAAGGTAAGATGGCAGAATATTGTTATGAAAAGTTTTCTCAGCAGTGTTGCACAAATTATTTCATCTTATGAAATAATCTTATACCACTTAAAGGTGATATAAATCAGTAGAATCTTGCATTAATAATAGGTTGTATACCATCACCCATGAAATTTCATGCTACTTTTATTTGGGGCATGTAAACACCACTTCAAAAAGTGGTCATAAATTTGTTCTGGATAAGGATGAAAAAATGCTAGAAGGTGTAATTGGCTTTCCCTATGTATGCTGGGAAAACCATGATAAAGAGTAAAACGTGATCCAGCTCATATATCTCTTTACCGTGGCCTAAGTCTAAAACACAGTCCCACCTGAAACGGATCAGGATTTTCCCTCAGCTTCCTGATGGATTTAGTCCTTCTGTTATAATAAATTCTGTTCTTCACATACTTTGTGCTGTACATGTGATTAGTGCAGACATGCAGAGTCCAAATTAAGCTGTCACTGCTGTTTGTGGTAGATATTTGCTTGCTGTCATCTTCCACCTCATCATTGCTTTGTGGCTTTTGGAAAACTGCCTCCCATTTGTAACTCCAGAGTCAGTTTTTCTTCATGGACTTTTCTTATCTCTATTTTCTGTTCATGGGACTGTGCACACAGGAATCTGTCCATGAATGAACAACAGCTTTTTTCTTTTAAGGATAAGCCAAAAAGATAATGCAGGGTTACTTGGAACAATAAGGTGGTGTGGGTATTAATTTATTCTGTTTGCTGATTCTACATTAGCATGACTTGCTAGATCACCTTGAGCAGTTCTGTGTCACCTCCCACCTGTCACAGCACAGCAGTCTGCAAGCCCAGGAGCTGCTCGTAGAGTGAGTGCAGGCTTGTGCTAAGGATGAACAAATAATAAAACAAAACCAGTTCTGTTGTTGGGAAGCTCCAGTCACAATGGAACAACACCTTCCATTGCAAGGGAGGAATAAAGGCAGCTGCAGGCCCTCAGAGGCATCTGCATAGCTGAAGTGAGGGGAATTTGGTGGCTTGGTGAAGGTATTTTCTTGAGAAGTTTTACAGGATTGGGACTCAAATGTTAGAGACAAATGATTAGGTCAAGACATCTAGCTGTTTTGCATGTATTTGCAACTTTAGACGTGTATATTTCTGTACAGAAGAAAATACTTTAGATCTTCTTTTGGGGAATCTAACAATCTTAAGCAATGTTTACTTTGGATCCTGACAAAAGATATAGATAGTCTAGATAACAGTAGAAAACACATGCCTAAAGAGGCTCAAATACCAAGCAGAGAAATTGTTAGTAATTATTATTAATCATAGTATAATTGCAGGTTCATTTGTTTGACATTAATGTTCCTGGGAAGATACAGTTCAGAGAGTCTGAAACACTGAGTCCAGGGAATAGTTTCTCCATGTTTGACACACGTGAGTATAAAATAAGCTCTCTCTTTAAGGAGCTCTACTACAGTAACACTGCAGTCACTCTGGAGTTTTCTTCCCCCTCCTCCTTTCCAGCAGTGGATTTTAAGACTATCAGACTGAGCATTTGATGACAAATATAGTTTAAGTTTGCTTCAAGTGTTTGGGTCACTTCTGAAACTTTTAAAAAGGTGGTGTGGTTGCAAAAGGACAGAGGAGTAGAAAGGGTTGAAACATATGTCACCCCCCTTGCCTTAATTGTATTCATTTGTTAGAAGTGATGGTATTTTTTAATAGTAGTTACAGCTTGAAAATAGTTCTTAATAAAACGTGGCCTAGAAAGTATGTAACAGCTACAGTGGTACATTGCTCCATGTGAGGATGATACAATAATGGAAACAATTAACTAAATCAGGAATCCCATTCCTGCCTTCTTGAATCAACCACCTCAGATAAAAAAGCAAAATACCTACTCCTTCCCACCCCATATTGGTCAAAAACTGACAGAGTCTGTTAACTGAGCTCTCCAAAGAGTCTTGTCTGCCACAGTCACTTTCTCCTCTGTGCAATGTGCGTGCTCTAAGGAAGTACATTACTATTTTTACTCCATGGAAAGCAGGGAGTGTTTCCTTTTATTGAAAAGAAAATAATTGAAAAAACTGCAGCTAAATGAGAGAGGAATATGTTGCACAAAGACCTGATACAACATGATTTTGTGGAAATTACTTTTCTTAAAGGGTAGATAAGACTGCTTCTCACACTTTTTCTGTCATCTTGAAGTATGACTTCTCCCCCAACAATAGCCAGTGCTTGTTGGACACACATTTAAATATAGCTCCTTTTGTTGCCGTGAGCCGTGCAAAATAAAAAATGTTGGCAGGATGGCTACAGGGAGCCTTGTGCTTGTTTTGTGCACTTGTGTAGTGATATGACTGCTGTCTCTTGTGTTTTGGGAACAGCATACTGCAAAGTGGGCCTGGGCATCTGCTATGATATGAGATTTGCTGAGATGGCTCAAATCTACGGCCAGAAAGGTGAGACTGGGTCACCTAAGGGAACTGGGCAGCCCTAAGCCGGGGCTAGCCAGGGCTGGTTCTGAGTGCTGCGTGCTGGGTGATCCCTGTGAGCAGGCATTCCTGGATCCCTGTGAGCAGGCATTCCTGGATCCCTGTGAGCAGGCATTCCTGGATCCCTGTGAGCAGGCATTCCTGGATCCCTGTGATCAGGCATTCCTGGATCCCTGTGATCAGGCATTCCTGGATCCCTGTGAACAGGCATTCCTGGATCCATGTGAGCAGGCATTCCTGGATCCCTGTGATCAGGCCTTCTTGTCCCTGCCAGTAACACAGAATGCATCCTGGGGCCAGACTCCTACTCACAGAGTAAAGTAACCATCGCTTCCTGATCCACACGTGCTGGTGGAGCGATGGAGCTGGGTATCCCCACCGCAGCTCTTGGCTGATGTAACCTGTTACGCATGGACAGGCTCTGTTTGGTTCCATTCTGGCAAGGCTGGGAGGTGTGGAAAGGAACTTCACCTTGGGTTTCAGTGGGAAGGGCCTCTCTTCCCCTTAATGATGCTTGAGTTCTAATTGTCTCTTAACAAAGGTTGCCAGCTGCTGATATATCCAGGGGCTTTTAACATGACAACAGGACCAGCTCACTGGGAACTCTTACAAAGGGGACGGTAAGATCACAGTAAAAGTTTATCCCCCTATTCTAAAGGAGTTTTGGTGCATGAAACTCAACTTTTTTGTGTTCCAAATGACACTTGTGGTTCAGAAGTAGTGCTGCAGGGCCACTCAGCCATTGGAGCTGTACCATCTCTCAAGCCTTGCATGGGACACCAAAATTATTTTATTGTCGAGGAGAAAAGCAGGAAGTTATTGGCCTTTACTCCTGCCTGCCCCTGCTATGCCCTTTCAATGACCCTTTCCCATGGCTTTATAAGCACCCTTCACACACAGATTCTAGAGAGAAGAGCCAGTAACCATTTGGGAAGTGCTCTAATTACAGGTAGAAATAGACTCTGAGATTCCTGAATGCAGTATTATTTATTCATTTGGTCAGCTTCAATCAATCTTGCTGCATACTGAATGAACCTGTGAATTCCATGATATTCTATGTACTAACTCTAGCCAGGTGCTAGAGACTTCTCTTTCCAGGGTCTTCTTTCTCTGACCTTTGTATCATTCACAGTTTGGGCTAGTCATTTAGAGGATATATAGCTTGTCCTTCAGAGTGGATTCTTTCTCTTCTGCTTAATTAAATGGTATTATAAAAACTAATTCTTCTCACGTTTTCCCCCCCTTCCTTCATTTTTCTGTGAACACAGAGCTGTTGATAATCAACTCTACGTAGCTACTGTATCTCCTGCTAGAGATGAAAAAGCATCCTATGTTGCCTGGGGACACAGCACTGTAGTAAATCCATGGTGAGTTCAATAAAATAAAACATACCACCTTTGGTACAAAATATTTCAGTTGGCAGTCACACTTCAGTCCTACTTATCCATCTACTGTTCAAACTGCAAATTCTTGGTAAAAAGCACATGAGACTTGAGCCTACATTCTCAAGATCATAATTTAAAATAGCCAAACTTAAAAAAAAAAAAAAAAATAAACTAGAACTAGTTTGAGTATGTATTAATTTTGGTAGTAAAGATGCTACTTAGCACTGGGATTAAGCATTAGTTGAACTGCTGTTGTCCCTAAAGTTCAGTCCATTGAATGCTATGCATAGGGTAATTCTCTTAAACAGCTTACACAGAACTATCTCATTTCCTCAAAGAACAACACTGCTTTGACATAAGAAAGAACAAGAAGAATGTCTTCAGCTAGAGAAGAGAGATTCTGACTTGAGCAGAAGTCACACAGGTGCAAAGGAGGTAAAAGTGACCAAATCTTCAGGCAGATGTTTTTCTTTCAGATAAATCTACTGATAGCTCACTTCCAAGCTGTTGCAAGTAAGAAAAAATGTCTGTGTCTTGGGCTTTTAACTTTATATGATGAAAGCAGTGACAAAACCCTTGGGGGAGACACAATCATGTTCAGTAGCTCATGCAGAGTATAAATACACTATTAAAAGCCATTAGGGTCTTCAAAGGAGAAAGTGTTCATCTTTGCCAGTGTGGTTGTTCCTTTCCCCTTGAGGTATGTTGCATGCTTACAGGCAGTGGTTTTCAGAGTGGCTTTTACCACAGTTCTTGATCTTTGAAAGACACTTATGTTAAGTATGCATTTATCACATATAGAAAGTGCCACATATAAACCCTGGAAGCCATTTCTATCATGCCAGAGTTATGGATTATGATGCTATTTTTAGGACAGCCCTGTAGTTACAGCTGTAGGCGTCAGGGGTAGGAACTGCTTTTTGTACAAACAGCAGCAACTGCACCGATGCCTTGAAACCAATGTGTTAATCCTGTGAACAAATGTACTTAATTTTGCAGGGGTGAAGTCATAGCCAAAGCTGGGGCTGAGGAAACAGTTGTATACACAGATATAGGTAAGGGAAAAATTGGTTTTGTTTTTTCCCCACTTTTTTTCTTGAGTACAGGATATGACACTAAGGAGGGACAGTTTTTTTAAGTCTATGTCCTTACACATGCAACTGCAGACGATGCAGCATTCCCCTGCCTTGTCCACCTTTGCTAGGTTAAAGCAAGAACCAGCAGCACTATCCTGTTCTACATAGAATATTCTAGAGCTGTACCCTTCTAGTTCACTCCCTTAGGCAGAAGGTGCCACCTTAGGAAAGAGCAAAGCTGAGGCTTCCTTCAGCCCTGGCTGCTCACTTGCAGTGCCCTACCACCCCATTCTCCATCACAGTTGCTATTTTCCCTGTCCTACCTCAGAGCAAGTCAGGAGCTTTCTTTTTTGGCTGCTGTTCTCTTAACTCTTTTCTTCTCTCCTGCAGATCTAAAGAAACTTGCAGAAATACGTCAGCAGATTCCTATTTTAAGCCAGAAGCGTTGTGATCTCTATGGTGTAGAGATGAAAAAGTGAAGCTGGGTGAAGAGGGAAGGTTCAGCTGTCACAATGCCTGTTGCCTTCATCTTCGGAAGGATTTCCTCAGTAGTTGCTCCACAATTTACTACCTAATGTGCCAGTTAAGAAAACACCACCTAACAAAAAACTTGGTGCAATTCTAGTATGATTGAACTATAACTTTTGTATCTCCACTCATACTTCAGTATTTCATAGTATTTTACAGGTAGGATAAAGATGGAGATGAAAACAGTTCAACACAGCAGTGATTAACACTGATTTTTAGTCATAATGTTTTTGTTACCTTCTGAGGGCTGTTTTATAGAACACAGAAATGGAAATCTTGTTTTCTGAAACTCAAGTCAGCTTTGGTATTATGAATTTTTCAGTGAATTGTCAGAAAATCTAGAAGCATGATTCTTCTCACTCTGTCCTTTTTAGATGTACGTGACTTAACCAAGGTCCTTGAATGCCCTACTTTTAACTTGGGAAGCTTAAAATTTAACACACTGAGCAAAACAGGCCAAATTCTGCTCTGCTCTACTCAGGACACTGCAAGAAGCTGCCAGACAGAGCTGCTCCTATAGAAGAATCTGTGACAGTTTTTGGTTCATGTGTTTTGTCTGGATCTGTGTATTAAATTCTCCTTATGGCAAATGCTGTTCACTGCTGAAGTGACACAGGTTGCTGTATTATTACAGTAATTTTTCTTTGCTCTCCCTACTGCTTCCTTAACAAAATGTCTGAGTGGGTTTTACTTCTGCTGCCTGGAAAAGGCTGAGAGCAGTCGGGTTGGAAACCCTCCTGCCCACAGTCTCCCAGTAGACTGCTCAGTGCTCGAATGCATTATTGCCATGGGCAGCTGCCATCCACATTCCTTACTGTGCTGCTTTTGCTGGACACAAACTGATTGACAAAGATGACTTTAAAATACTGCAAACCAGCCAAGCACATTGCACTTCTGGTTTTGGGGTGTCTTTTTTGAAGGAAGACATCTTTTAATGTAAAAAGAATGTAACAATTTATGCTTTTTTTTCCTTGGAATGAAAAAAAAAGCAACTTACCAGCCTTCACTGATAAGCTTTTGGTTTTCCAGCAGCATAAAACAGATGTAAGGCTAAAAAAGATTTCAAAATACAAGAATGGGAGGGAGAGAAGGTTTTGTCTTGCTCTACCTAACCACATTTCCCCCAAAACCATCTTACATTTCATTCACGTTCACCAGTCCTCTTCCAAGTTTTTTGGGTTTCTGGGGGTTTTTGTTTTTTAACATTTTGGCTTCTCTGCAATGAGCTTGGTGTGTTTTATAAATAAGAACAAACATTCAGCCAAGCCCTGACACATCCTTCCCCTCAAAAGCCAGATCCCATCATTCCACTTGGTGGCATTCTGTATCAGCAGGTGTTTTTGGTCTGTTTCACTGCATTATGGTGTACATACTGCACAGGAACTTTTAAGAAACAAGTCACAGAGTACAAGGTGAAATGAAGGTTTATTTGTTGAAAAATAAATATTAAAAAATTAGCGATTTACCATTTGAGCCGAGTGTCCTGCATTAGATTAGTGCTTCCCACATACTCAGCAGCCCCATATCCATGATGGCCATGGTCAGGCTCCAACTTCTAAGCCATAATAACTATGTTCTCTCTTTCCCTCCCATCTCTCTACTAGTTCAACACACAGGAGTAAATAAACACTACCTTTGGAGGATTAAAGTAGTGCAGGACTCTCATGGGCTGACCACTTAAATCTGAGAAATGCAGTTTGCAACAGGTAACAGAATCTGTGGTCTGAACTCTCCTCCCTGGAATCCCACATGGAGAGGATGGATGAAAATCTGTTACAGCCTACTTTGGTGAACTCAGCTGAAGAGCTGAAATAAGCTCGGTTCTTTTCAGTCTATGAGGACAACTTCTAAGCACCTTGTTTCAGTAGGGTATTTAGCAGGGTCTCCAGTGCGCTGCACTCAGAAATTATGCAGATGGGACTGAGAATTTGTGAGGCTTTCACTGAAAAAAAGTACACTGTCAGTTCTTAGCCACAGTACTTGAAGCAGCCAATACTCAACCTTTGTGTTGGTAGAAAACAGGCACTTTTAAGTGTCCATATGACACATATGCACCAGTGTTCTGTAAGTCCAGGAAACTAATCAGTAACAACCCTGAAACAGTTCCAGAATTTCAGTCTGCAAGAATTTAAATTATTTTTGAAGAAATGGCAGAAAATTGGACAGTGTTAGGATTGCTGGGCTGGGTAAACCTGCATCTAAGCTGCTCTTGGTAGTTCCAGAGTAAGTTACAGTATAACTTTCCAGTGCATGTTAGTTCCCTCTTCCCTTTCCATCTGCAATTAGATCCTAGGAATTCAAGTCACAGCTTAGACTCACGGAATATGCCGAGTTGAAGGGGCCTGTCAGGATCAGAGTCCAACTCCCGGCCCCAAGAATCACACCATGTGCCTGACAGCATTAGCATTGTCTCTGTGAACAGCAGGGACCATACATGATGAAAATTAAGTTCCTAGACAATTGTATGTAGAAGCAGCTTCCCAGAGTATCCCTCTAGGACACATGGGCTTTATCCAAGTCTTCGATACTAGCTTCCTAAGTAATTCCAACTTTTTTTTTTTTAAAGAGCAGTAATACTTGTCTCACTTCAAAGTTCACATGCACACCTGGCTTAAAATAAAACCTCAACTGTAGCAACCACTCACAAAGTCCCTTTCATCACAGGGACGCAGCTGCATACACACATTAATAGGGTCACAGCTACTCAGATTCCCAGCCCTCCTGGCTCCACTTCCTTTCCCCTGTAATCTTCAGCTATCAAGATCATACCTCTGTGGGTGATGGAAGCAAGCAGAGATCGGATTTGTTGATTCCACATTCTTTATCCTCATCCTTTCTTAAAGGTTGAAGTGACAGAAGATGACAAGGAGTCAGTCAATGATTAGTTCTTCCTAGACTTAGAAAATAAGCACAGAGCTCACCACTGCAGAGAACACCTTCATCAAAACCTGTTCTTATACATGTCAGAGAGATACTTGAAGGTAGTATTTATTTTTTCAGTTTACAGGTGATATGTCATTTACAAAAAATTACAGACAATGCATCCTTTCAGTGCAGTTTCAAACTAGTTGAAGAACAGGCAAAAGTCCGTGATGATTTGGAATGCTAGTAATTGACAGCACATGCTTTTTTCCCTTAATTGATTGGGTGGGGTGAGGAGTGGGGTACAGATGGGGTGATGAGGAGAAAATGCCAATGTAAGTAAGGCCATGCGAATAAAAACTCCTCAGAGAACAGGACTCGTCCGCCTGGCATGTTTTTGTTCTCAGGTAATTGATGCAGAGATTGGAAGTTGGAGAAGACATTTGACACTTGTTACGTTCAGTGCCCCTAGAAGCTGCCAGTACCTTCCCATATCTTCAATTCTACACCAGTGCTATGATTTCAGATCACCTAATGAGCTACTAAAATAATGACTAAATCTTTATCTCTGCTCTCTACCATTTGCATACTCAACTGTAGTTACTGGGAGAAAGGAAGGTCAAGTTGAAAATGCAAGCTGCTGCTGTATGGTGGCACAACTACAGACCAAGACAGTTTGACTACAGCATCATTCATTTCTTTAAAAGGTTAAATACATTAGACAATTCACCACGAACAAATCTATGATTTTAGGATGGAAAGAAGCCCAATCTAGTGTGTCCTAAATTAAGCTACCTCATTTGCATGAGGTTTATCCAGCCACATCAGTCCAGGGAAAGGTAAGATGGACTGACTTCCACACCACAAAGATCAACCCAAAGCAAGAGAGCCCTCTGTGAAGTTCCTAACGAGAGGAAAACGCTTTCATAATTTGTCCATCTACTGTTTGCAGCACAATGGCTTCCCTTGTACAGTATTTGAAATCTTGGACAAGACAGGGTCTACACAACAAAAAAATAAGTGCAGTTTGCAAATCCATTATTGGAAGTTTGAGCCTATGCTTTGTTCCTTACCTCATTTAATCCTGCCAAGGAGCTCTTAAAAGGAGATCATAACCCAGCAGTCTCTAGAGACTGAAGAAAATTTAGATAGTCTATCAGCTGCTACTCTTATGCAAAAGCATCAGAGATTGCAAAGATTATATGCAAGCATGACCTTACCTTTTGGAGCTTGACTCCCAGCAGTGCTTTCTGTTCTTGAAAGTCCCTCTGAACCCTGCAGAACAATCTCCTGTGACATTCAAGTAAGGACTGCTGCACAGGAATACATTCTTTCTTCCAGTAAAGTCTACACTGAAGCAGTGTTACCTGACCTCCTTCCCCAGCCAACCTTTTTCCTAGCTCTCCTATGCAGTACTCTAGGGCTTTCTGGGGTGAGAATAAGAACTATCAAATTAATTCCCTAATAGCTGCCACAGGACTATTTCTAAGGAAGTTATGCAGAGGGTGGAAGGGGATTTAAGGGAAGATTGTGCATGCTCACATATATTTACAAGTATCCTCTCCACATCTACTGACTTAAAAAAACCCTCTATTATTAAAGTTTGAAAATTAATTTTTGCAAAATTTAAATCAACCCTCAAGGATTAATTGGATATAAAACCTATTTTACAGCACTTACTAGTATTACTTTTAAAATCAACAGGAAAAAACCCACATGCTGTAATATTATTTGATAAAGCAAAAATCGCCCACAACATAATCACCCAAAATGAATCAGTGTGAAGTTTTTATTTGCATGGCCAAAAAATGTTCCTTTGGTTCCCCTGCAACTTTATTTCCCTTAACACACTCTAAGGTTTCTGCTGCAGAAGGAACAAGATGCAGCACTGCATACTTCCTTAAACAACCACTCCCACAACACCTAAACATTTAACAGATGTAGCAAATGACAACACCATGAACAGGAAAAAACTAAGTTCCACCATTCAGCATGGTCTGCAACAGCGTCTTTAGGGCTGGCTGAAGTGGGCAACTTCACTTTGGAAGGTCATTTCCTCCTTGTCTCTTTACAGCGTTGGTGGTTTCAATCCATACTTCTTTGCAACTTCTGTCTGAGCATAGGCAGCATCACAGAGTGAGTAGAGGTGGGCCATCTCCATTTCTGATTTGGCCAGGTTGATAGCTTTGTTGAACATTTCAATGGCTTTATCCAGATTACCTCTGAAATAAACAAAAATTTAGCCCGTTTAAGACTGCCAAAGCAATCTTGTCATCTTTAAAACATCTTTTTTTCTTTCAGGACTTACACTCTCCACCATTAATAACTGAAAAGGATTTCAGGAGGAACCACCACAAGAACTTGTGGTGATGATGAGTAAACTCAGAGAGTAAACTCATGATTAAGGAAGTCACTTCAAATTAAGAAGGAATGTATTTAACATGCACAGACTCCTCTGCACGTTGTCCATTAAGTATGAAATTGGTGGTAAGAAGTTATCAGATCATAAATCACAATTATGCCACAGAGAATGCATATGCTTTGCCTAAGAGTTACAGAACAGAAATCAGGACTTTGGCTAAGAGCTGGCCTTACAGCACACCAGGAAGAAGATTGCAAGACCTAAGATCCATGAGGAAATTCAAAGAACTACTGTAACTTCAGAAGTAACTAAGAATTCTTAACACTGCAGTTCAGCATTACCTTTGCACTTCAATCGTTCCCATGGTCTCATATGCAAAATCACATTTGTTATCAATTTCAATGGCCTTACTTATGAGTTCTAATCCTTTGTCTAAATCTTGCTTCCACTGGAGCTGAAGTAAACTACAAGAAAGAGAAAATTTCAAACTGGCTTCACATACTCTTCTCAAAACCTTCATCATGGTAAGCAAAACCATCCCAAATGTATAATGTATTTAATGTCTAATGCAGGTACACAGTAACTTAGTAACTTCATGATTCTTAAAAACACCTATTGTAGAAGTCACTTTCAATGAGCCACTTTACTGCTTTAATGACTCTAAAGAAAGGCAAATTTTCCCCAAGAGGACTTGGTACATGTTCTTTTATAAAGAAAAAACTTCAACACAAACAAACTAATAGGGCTAAAGGAAAAGTCAGATGTACTTCAAGCAGATACTCAATTAGCAATGAACACTGATGAAACTTTCCTGAAACTTTTTTGCAGCTTAGTCAAGACAAAATACAGAAGTACATTTAAGAGCACAAAGATGCTTTCAAGTTATTTTTCCTGGCTAAATTTCTAAACATACATTCAGTTCAGGTTGGTTAATCTACATATGCCAACTGCTCTCGACCAAAAGGACTGCAAATCCAATACATACCCTTTATGAACATATGTAGTGGCATTGTCTGGCTCAAGGTCAATGCATTTATCATACATTTCATCAGCCTTGCCAAACTGCTGTTGATCAGTTAGTGCCTGAATCAAAAGAGAAACCTGTTTGTCAGTAAGCCACCAAAGAAAGTACTCTGCGTCCAGCTAATTATAATTAAAACTGTATTGACAGCGTGAGATTGGATGTAGTTCATTTATGGTAGAGCAGGCCAGGCACATCAGTTACCAGAGTTAAGTTTCAA